TGTGTGCCATTTTTAATGATTTTTCCATTTATTGCATTAAAATTTGTTATGTTTATTGAAACAATCACATTCCCACTATAACTACAGAAATATCAGGACTGTTTTCATAGCAAATTAGCCTTCATTATGCCTATGTGACTTTTTGTAATCAATGTATTGATTACAAAGATTGACTGCCTAACCCTATCTGCAGTATCACAAATGTGTTTTGTGTTTTGCAGGTGAGGGAGGTACTTCGCTAATGCTGAACTTTATCTTGAGGCCCTTAAAAAAAAAAAGGTAAACATTTTTAATTTGAGCTTGGTAACCATAGAGTATTTCTTTCATCTTTTTTCAGTACTTTGGAATGTCTTAGAACAGTGGTTTTCAATCAGGGGCCTTCTATCCAAGGTGACTTAAAGATATTTATAAGAAGACAAAACAAGCATTAAAATAAACAAATGTTAGATTTTATTTTAAATTACCCTTCAAAAAGGTTTGTTTCCTTTGAAGAAAATTACTTGGAAGGTTGGAAAACCTGGATATATGAGGTAGTCAAATTTTTAAAAGCATAATTTCTAGACTATCTAGAAAAATCATGTAAATGAATAAAATGTTACAATACCATGGGCATTTTTATAATGAATATACATTTTACTAGTTACGCCAAGCTCTAAAATATTTTGTCATGTGTAAATTGCGAGTAAAAAAATGTAACTACTGGAATCCCGAACTTTATTTTAATTTGTGTTGTTGTTATTATTATTATAAATTTTTTTAATTTACAGAAACAAAGAGTTGCCATAGATTGAAATGGCTAGCGGTCATAGTTTTGAATATTGTTGTGGACGATGGGGGCCTTTAGACTCAGAAAGGTTGAGAACTGCTGTCTTTGAAGATATACCTATATTATTTTCATTAATGCATATTAATTGCTGATGTTTACGCAAAGAGTGGCCTGGACATCGGGAAAATGCTCACCTATAAATGGAGACAGGAGGCCAAGCGGAGACGCAGAGAGGAGAGCAGAGCGAAGAACCCAAAGAGAGACTAAAAGACAGGTAGATGATCTCTGCTAACCATTTCCATATTATGAACTGCTACATTCGCATAGCTAAGGTAGCTAGGCCTGATCCTGTACTATTATATATGCTCGGTTCCAAAACCAGCTGCCCACAGAGATAAGATACCTTGTTTTGTCAATTTTAAGGCAGCTTCACCTTTGTGGAGAAGGCCATTTCAGAATGCATTCTGATGAACTGATATGTGAAAACATATATTTATAAAATGTTATTTTATTTAAAAAAAAAAAGATTAAATGAAAAATATTGATAAAAATAGTTGTGTAATTACAAATGGATTATTTTACAAAATATTTGTGTGTGCTGTGTATATTTATGATTACTAGAGTATCACACCAACTTAGCAAACTTTATTGAAATCAATTGTTAGTGTGTGCCAATGTGAAGGTTCCCAAAACAGTCACTTATAAAATAATAATTCTATGTAGGCAGCAAGCAAGGCAACATGTCTAATGTCAAATACTTGCAGCATAGATAATTTCTCAACTCTGGGAACTGTCTCTTTCATTCTTACTTTACAGAAAATAGCTTTCAGGGAAGCCTCTCAGCGATCCAAAAAAGCTGTATTTTCAGTGGAAGAGGAAGCAGGGCAGTTGAGGGAAACAAATGGAGACCTATACAGAGAGGTAGAGCTTGGCTGGAGTGAGTGGGAAAACAGTACAGTGTTCGTAATACCGGAGACGGCGAGGACATCCGATGGCCATCACATCTGGATGCACCTTAAGGGTACTGATCCTGACACCGCCACCCTGGGGTCAGTGTCAGATCTACATGATGGGGACACCAGCACTCTAGACTCCAGCAGCGAAGACACTTTAAAGGTCCCATGGCATGAACATTTCACTTTATGAGTTTTTTTTTTTTAATATTAATACGAGTTCCCCTAGCCTGCCTATGGTCCCCCAGTGGCTAGAAATGGCAATAGGTGTAAACTGAGCCCTGGGTATCCTGCTTCGCCTTTGAGAAAATGAAAGCTCAGATGGCCCTATCTGGAATATTCCCTTTATGTCGTCATACGGGGAAAGGTTACCTCCCCTTTCTCTGCTTTGCCCGCCCATGAGAAAATGTTCTACTACCGTGCGAGGCAAGTGCAATATTTATTTTTTCCTCGAGACATCATGGCTTGCTAACGAGCGAAGCATGGCAGTTGCCCCG